TTTTCTTTCTTTTTTTTTGTTTATTATTATTATTTCTTTTTTATTATTTTTTTTTTTTTTTTTATTTATTTCTACGACCATTTCTTCCATTCTGTTATATCGTATTCATTCTTGGCAAAGTGGAAGAAGATGCAACTGATTCCTCTTACAATTAACGACGAACTCGTGATTACTTATCCTCTCTACTTTAATTAAGATCATTAACCGTCTCGATTGCAGATTTCCACGTTTAACTTTTTTCGTAAGATCAAGTTGGATGATTAAGGAGGGAAACTCCTGTTTATTGCATTTATTCGATATGTAGTCGATTCTTTTTTTCTCTCTCTCTCTCTCTCTATATATATACATATACATATATACATATTTTTTTTCAAGTTTTTCTCGCGTTCCTTTTATTTTTCCTTTTAATATTCTTCTTTTTTTTTTTTTTCTTTTTTGCGTTTCTTCTTTTATTCCTTCCTCACGTAATTTCGTGAATAAGCGTGTACATCTCATTAAAAATCATTCCAAGTAAAACTACTTACTTACGCGTACATTTTATATTATGTATTCGTATTCTATATAGGGCGCCTCGATAAGAATCTATCTGGTATCTGCGGCATTGAAGAAAGTTTTGCCTCTCGCTCTAGAAACTGAATTGCTTCGGATCCGTTTTCTCTTGGAGTCGACCTAAATCGCTCTGATACATTTGCAAACAACATCGCTACCGTTTTCAATATTTTTGATTGCATAGACATCAGAGGCAATCTCTCTCTCTCTCTCTTACTCTCATTTTTTTGATACATTAAGAAAATGAAGGAAGGTTAAAAAAAGAAAGAGAGAGAGATAGAGAGATCAGTTGATCTTTTCTCATATTTCCTTAAAATAATTATAATGTCATTCGTCATTTTCAATGATAAATCATTATTATTATTATTATTATTATTATTTAATAAATTTGATCAAATCGAATCGGTGATTGCGTTGAAAGTGTTCCTAACGCTGGATTGCTAACTTTAAATCGAGAAGCTGCATGGTTAACTATATATTGCTCCCTGACGATGCAGAAATTAAATTGAGTATCCCAATGGCGAAAATCCAAAAGTAAAAGAGAGAGAGATAGAGAGATAGAAAGAGAGATCGAACTTCGGTCTGGCAGTTTTAACAGCTCGCATGAAAAGTTTCCATGCTTATAGGCATGCTGACACGCACGTATATAATCCCTGTACGATGGCTTTCATTTTTCGGGACGTTGAGAGTGTGTTAAGGGGGTTAATAGGGAGATGGGTTGGTTAGCGGGGGTAGTTGTGGCAGTGGGGTAGTGGGTGTTGATAGTAACAAGGTAAGAGGGTAAATTTGATCATGGGTTTTTAGGTTATTGGCTTAATCACATATTCCATTCGAATTATATTACGTGAAATGGATCCATTTTCATGGACATGTTGGATACTCCTCACCGGACGCATAATACGTTTCGGGTAATTTCGTAAGCTGCGTATAACGAGCTATGAGGTGTTATGATATCATAATGACTTATTATCGATCGATCAGACTGAGAGCGAGAGAGAGAGAGAGAGAGAATGGATGGATGGATAGATTGACAGGTAATTGATAATGAAATTCCATAACAATCGATGGTTAGATTGACAGATAATTGATAACGATATTTTGTAACTATCGTAATTTTGATTAATATGTAAAACTCGAAAAAAGTTATGGGGTTTTATCTCTTTCTTTGTCTTTCTTTTTTTCTTTCTTTCTCTTTTTTCTATTTCTTTTATTTTATTTTGTTTGCAGAGGAAAGATATCGCAAGGAATAAGCGTGGTAGAGAAATGATTTCATAAGGAATTATTATAATATGTGGCCTAAGCATTTTACGATTTATCGTTGAATACTTCGAGCCGTCAGACTTGTGTACGTCGCATTGCACCCAATCCCATCGTATTTGATATAAAGCTCGCGTTCTTCCAACCGAATGCACTCGAGCGTTATTATTTTTTGGAATTTCGCCCATAAATCCTTTTTCACGTAGAGAAAACGTAAGCTGCTGGAAAGTATGAGACTTATGTACATACGCATATATATATATATATATTTTTTTTTTATATATATATAACACATACGTCTTGCGATTGCGATTCTCTTCTTTCTCGTTTTCCTTTTTGTTTGTTTGTTTGTTTGTTTGTTTGTTTGTTTGTATGTTCTTTTCTTTCCTTTCTCGTCGCATCTTTTGCATTGAATTAATAATATCCAGTAAAAAAATTATGATAATAACGCGTGAGAATTATGTTCTTTTTCTTTTTTTCTTTTTCTTTTTTTCTTTTTTCTCCTCTTCCTTTCTTTCTCTTCGTTTTCCTTTAAAATTTGTCTTAATCCTTATATCCTTCTAATGAATTATTCTTTACGTAATAAATCAACGTTGAATTTTCTTACTACGTAAACCAATGGTATTAGCTCACGTGTTATCGTCTTTCGATAAAATATTAGTATGCCCTGTAGCTATGATCGAAGTTATGATATTAGCTTTCAACATCTTGAGAACCATCGTACTTTGCGTGTTCGTATTATATCATGGTACACTTATAATATCGAGTTACGGAAAGTTTCATTGTAAAATTAATCTGTACGTGTAAACGTTTAAAAAATTTTATCGTTTAAGAAATGATTGCGCGATAGAACATGATTCTAAATGTTTACAACAAGCCGATCGTTGTTAATTAATTAATTATTAATTAGTACATTATTTATATATATATATATATATATATATATATATATATATATATATAGTCTTCATTAGATTCGTATATAAAAGGATAACGATATATCGAATATATCTTTCCTTTTTTATTTTATACATATACACATATATATATATTTTTTTTAGCTAATTTACTAAGGTAATGGATTGAGATAAAATTTTTTCTTTTTCTTTTTTTAATCATTCTTCGTTTCTTTTTTATAATATATAAACGTAATACATAATATAAATACATATACCTATTACATATATATATATATATATATAAAAATCTGACCCTCATAAATTAGCCCGAGGCGATAGTTCTCGTTATAGTCTGAAAGCTTTCACATAGGGTACGTCGGAGCATCAAATATGCCAGTTTAGTTATGTATAAAGTAATAAGGAATGCTATGCGCGTTTATGGCACGCAATACCTCGTGGTAAATACTCCCTAACCGTGGTTAGTATCAATCTTTAAACCTTCGACGATCCTATATTAGTATATAACCATTTAATATATTTCTTACTTTTTTTTTTTTTTTATATTTTATCTTTATAAGTAATAAAAAAATTAATATTAATCATTCTCATAAGTGAATTTTCTTCAAACGTTTGCCTTATTTATTTCCAATAATTCAGGTCAATGATATATTTATATATATATATATATATTTATATATATATATATATTTATATATATATATTTATATATATATATATATACATTAGTACGCACACACACATACACTTACTTACCTAAGATATGTTAATATTTATTTTATAAATATTTCTTTCAATCTCTCTCTCTCTTTCTCTTTCTCTCTCTTTTAAAATGCTAAGAGTACGTAATTATGTCGATACTCGATCACTATGTTTGCTTCATATCGTTCTGCTTAAACTTCATGTTTTTTTCAAGAGGGTATCCATCCATCGCTCGATCTCTTTGTGATCGATTCTCTTCAAATATCCGTTTACATACGAAAGGAATGCATATATATCGCATCATATATGTATATATATATATATATGTATATATATACATAGATGAGAAAGAGTCGATCCATCGATGGCAGACCATCGAAACGCATCCGTGTTATTTTTGTCAAGTAGTAGTTAGAAGAGTTGCGATGGAAAGAAGGAGAGTGTATGCATCTGCCAGCGGTATTTCAACTCGAAACAAAGCTATGGAGAGAAGAGGAGAGAAGAGAAGAGGAAAGAAGAGGAGAGGAGAGGAGAGGAGAGGAGAGAAAAGATTTTGCTCGTTGGTTTCGGAGTCTGTATTGGCGCAAGTCCAGTTGATACAGAGGCCACACTCGATATCGCGATTACGCGACGCAGAAATACGTTTTTCTTCGTTCTCTCTTTTACTCTCTCTTACTATCTCTCTTTCTTTTTTTCTTTCTTTTTCTTTTTCTCTATCACTATCTCTCTTTCTCTCTTCGTTTCGTTCCGTAACCATTGCATTTTTCTTCAAAGATAGATTATACTAAGGCAGGATACGGGAATGAAACGAGATAGTGAAGGTGGGAGAGGATAAGGTGGGTGGGTTGGTGAATTGGTTGGTTTAGATTTATAGAGGAAAGAGAAAGACAGAGAGAGAGAGAGAAAGAGAGAGATATATCAAAGTAGCTTGTGTCCAAAATGCTCGTGGAAAATAAAATGATTGTATATGTTTCGATATCGATTACTAATGAATGACTATTCCCCATATTTGTAAAAAGTATTGAGAGAAATGAAAAAACGTACTACTGCTCATTCTATGTAGTAATAATCAATGAAACGATATAAATGTTTTCTTTTGATGCAACGAAGAAAAAAAACGGGCCGATTTAATACTCATTAAAGTTTTATCATCCAATGTGTTTTTCTTTTATGATATTATATTAAAAGAAGATCGAAGAAGGAGACGAAGAGAAAGGAATACTCGTTGTTATCGTTTATCGAAATTTATGATAACATTCTCTTTTATTTTTTTATATGTATATATATAAAAACACACATACACATAGAAATATATATATATATATATATATATATATATATATATATGTTGATCGTGTTTTCTTAGAAAACAATGACATTTTATATTATGATTCTCGTTCGATAAAGGCATAGAAAAGAAACATGTAAACAGTTTTGTCCGTACGTGAGGAAAGGTTACAATCTTTCACGTTCGTTTAATGTATTCATTACTCAGTTATTAACGAAACGTTGCCGTGGTTGGTTGTACGATAGAAAATGAATTCGTTCTCATATCAACGTAGATAAAGTTATTCATTAATTCGTTTCTTCTTGATCGTCGATACGAAAATCCTTTTCGATCTCGTTTAAACTTTTCTTACCGTTATCCTTGACAAGAACGGCAGAAAATATTGCACCGAACCAGCATATTATTGCGAATAACCAGACGGCCTTTCTAATATTATCGTCCGTTTGTAATGAACCAAAAACTATCATCGCAAGAATCGAAAGTATCCAATTAGAGATCGCAGCGAATCCTGCACCAAGTAGATTTATCTGTTGCGGAAATGAGTCTGCGAGAAGTGCCCATGATATTGGTGCTACGCCCAAGTTTAGAGATATGAAATATAGGCTGATCCATGTTGGTGGCATCCACCAATACCAATCATCGTATTCCGGATCCTCGAGTCTTTTATCGAAGAACCATCCTGTTTCGTGAGAAAAGAACAAAAAAAGAAAAAAATAGAAAAAAGAAAAGAGTAATAGAATATTGGTAACTTAATTTTATTATTTATCTATACGAATATATAGACATCGTGATATATTATGTTATTAGACGTGGTAGTAAAATATATATATATATATATAAGATATTTGTAAATTCGTATTATATAATATTAAGAGGATCATAGTAAAATTCACGCTGATCGGTGAGCAGGTTGATGTTAGTAGAAAGGGTTCCTAAAGGAGCTTTAGTAAGCAGCCCAAAATTTGTACATTGAATTCTAACGAGATCGTTAACGAGAATGGTTCTAATGTCCTAGTTGCAGAATACGACTGAGCGAACAAGCGAGAGAGAGAGACAGATAGAGAGAGAGAGAGAGAGAGAGAGAGAGAGAGAGAGAGAGAGAGAGAGAGAGAGAGACATAAAGACATAGAGACATAGATAGATAGATAGATAGAGCAAAGTGCATAGAAATTAAGCCGCTTGGTTTGAGGAAATAATTGTTAGGCTAATGTCTTACCCAACAGTCCAAGGAACAGTCCCATGAACGCGGATGATATGGTCAACAGGATACGCCGTCCTAATACGTCGATGAGCGTATACGCGAGGAGACATGATAGTATTTGTACTATACCAACTACTAGAGTTAATTCACTTCCATTTAATAAACCTGAACCTTGAGTCTCGAAGATCGTAAGGGCATAAGTGATAAACGTGCTGAATCCGCTGAACTGATGGATCATCATTACACCAAAACACATTAGGAAGGAATGAAGTACACGACGATTCTTCATTAGACCATATCTCATCTGCGTTTAAGAGAATTAAATGTGTGTGTGTGTATGTATGTGTGTGTAATAAATTAATCAATTGATTAATTAATTAATTTAATTAATTAATCTAATTATAACTATAAAACGATTTATTTGTTTTTTTTTTTAATTTTTGTTGTTGCTTCTTTTTATTTCTTTTTTTTTCTTTCTTGTTTTTTCTTCCATTGTGCATCTTCTCAATATCGTTAACACTTTTAATATCAAACAAAAGATGAAATATAGAAAATAAATTAAACGTTGGAATAATAGTTTCAAAGCAAAATAATATTATTTATTTTATCAACATTTTCTTTTCAATCCTTTAACGATTTATATATTCAATCTTGAAGAAGAGTTTATACGAAAAGCTTTTGATAATTATTTCTCAAAGGATGGTATTACGTTTAAAACCGAAACAAACGAGCTCTTTCAAAAGGGGAAGAATAACCTCCCCTAACCATTGAATTTAACCGTTAGTAAGAATTTTGACGTTTAATATTTCATCGGTCTTTATTATTATTTTACTTGGAACAACGAATGACATAGCACGTATAAATGTTTATGTATATATACATATATATATATATATATATATATATATATATATATGTATATATATATATTAGGTTGGAAACTATGAAACGGGCGTTTTTGTTTAGTCTTTAATTTTCATTTAACACCCGTTTCATAGTTTCCAACCTAATATATAAGTATTAGGTTGGAAACTATGAAACGGTCGTCTCTGTTTAATTTTTTATTTTCATTCAACGCCCGTTTCATAGTTTCCAACCTAATATATTAGAGGACCGGAAAGTAATGTCGTTTCTGTAAAGCGACATTACTTTCCGGTCTCCTCTGATTAGGGACCGGAAAGTAATGTCGTTTCTGTAAAGCGACATTACTTTCCGGTCCCCTTGATTATGGACCGGAAAGTAATGTCGTTTCTGTAAAGCGACATTACTTTCCGGTACCCCCGATTAAGGACCGGAAAGTAATGTCGTTTCTGTAAAGCGACATTACTTTCCGGTCCACCTAATATATATATATATATATATATATATATATATATATGAACGTATATAATATTATAATAATCTTATTATTGGGTTGGCAACTAAATCGTTGCGGTGTCCATATCCGCAATGACTTAGTTGCCAACGGGATATCGTGTTGGCAACTAAGTCGTTGCGGTTTCCATATCCGCAATGACTTAGTTGCCAACGGGATATTTTGTTGGCAACTAAGTCGTTGCGGTGACCATATACGCAATCATTTAGTTGCCAACGCCATATTGTTTTGGCAACTAAGTCGTTGCGGTGACCATATACGCAATCACTTAGTTGCCAACCTAATATATATATATATATATATATATATATATATATATATATATAAATATAAAATATTTCGTGTAGGTATATTATTATAGATTAGAAATCACTGAAAGCAAAGATTTGTTTATTATTACAAGAAGTTAGTTTAAATGTCATTTACGATGCGGTAAGACCACTAGAAAGGATTGAGGGTGAGGATAGAGAGAAAGATGGTGAATCTTAATAAGACTTTGAATGAGACGGAGAAATAAAGATGGATAGATTGAGGGAGAGAGAGTGAGAGAGAGAGAAAAGTATCTAAGTAACTTGGAGGAAACGTTTTGTAAGGTACCGATAATTACATCCTCGTTAATGTACATAATAAACGGAGCTCTTATTAACGTGCTACCTACTTCCGTCTTATTGTTTCATTCTCTCTTTCTCTTTCTCCTTCTCCTTTTGTTCTTTCTCTCTCTCTCTTTCTCTCTCTCTCTTTCTCTCTCTCCCTCTTACTCTCTTTCTCATTCTCTCTTTCTCTCTTTTCTTTTTTGTTTCCACGTACAATTATTCTTACGTTAAGCATTATTTGTGAAAAAAAAAGAAGAAAAAAAAAAAGAGAAAGGAAGAAAGAAAAAAAATGTTCTCGGCATTTAAGGGCATCTAAATACGTAATTTTACCTTGGCCGTTCGTCTGAGTATAGCCAACTGTCTTAATTCTTCCATCTCGTAATCGTTCTCATTTTCGTTCTCATTTTGACGATACCAACTTAAAGAATTTTTCGCTCGACTTTCATTATTCTCAATGCTAGAGAGATAATAGAACGGGCTTGCTGGTATAAAACGTAATAGTACGAGTATAATGCAGCTAGCACCGCAGCTTGTACTGTATCTGAAATTTTTACGAGTAACTTATTGCTAATTAACGCAGTTTGTTTGATCCATAAGTATTCTAGGGAGGGTCCATTAATTTTGCAATAATTTTTTAGCTTGTACTTAAAGAAAAAGAAAAAGAAAAAAGAGAGAGAGATTGTCCTCAAATGTTTCTTCATTTTCTTTTTCCCTTCTTTACTCTTTTTCTTTTCTTTTCTTTTAATTTTTCATTCCTTCTCTCTCTCTCTCTCTCTCTCTCTCTCTCTCTCTTTTCTTTTCTTTTCTTTTCTTTTTTTTTTTTGAATTCTTTATATACCCATACCTCCATATAATGTTACCTCCATCGAGAACGTGAGCCATCAGGAAAGCGTACATGATTCCGCAATTTATTAAAAGCTGAAATAGAATCAACAATCGATTGCGGGTTTTCTTGTCGGCTATATCACTGATGAAAAGTGGTACCAAGAGACAGGACATACCACCGGAAATTCCGCATATGAAACGACCGATAACAATCATGAATGTCTAAAAATGAAAAGAAAATACGACTACTATAATGACGATATCTATTTATATATCGAGAAACATTTTTTTTTTTTCTATATATATCAAAATTCATTATTTTTATATATTAGAATTTAGGTGATTTGTAAGGAAGAAAATAATTCGATGAAATTTAACAACAATACGTTCTCGTTTCCTAGGCTGATCACCGACCAACCAATGGCGTAAAGTAAGATCTTGATTATTCCGCTGATCCAATGATGAAATTTGAAGATCCAAATGGCAATTATGACTCCGAGGCAAGCGCCAACGTTTAGAACGTTACCTATAATACCAAGCTCCGTAATACTTGCTATAAATCTGATCCTCATACCCTCTGTAACGCTGGAACACCAACCAACTGACACACCGAGAGTAAAACCACCGAGTGATACTGAAATTTTAGGAGTATATTATTATTATTTTTAATTCATTCTCTCTCTCTCTCTCTCTCTCTCTCTCTTTCTCTATTTCTATTTTAACATTTTACTCTTTCTCTCTTTATATGTATATATATATATATACATACATACATATATCTTTTCTATAGGGACATTTGGCGAAACGTGAAAAAGTCGAAAAGAGAATATCTCTTCGGCAAATGGGGGATTAATTAAAGTGCAACGTTGAATATGGGATTGATTCGAAGAACTAATTACCATTGCGGTAGAATTCATCCTGTACCAATATTCGTAGGAATATGCATGTCGTTTGCGGAAGGATAGAAAGAGAAAGAGAGAGAGAGAGAGAGAGAGAGAGAGAGAGAGAGAGAGAGTGATATAGAGAGATAGAGAGATAAAGATAAAAGATAAAGATAAAGATATATATGTATATATAGATAGATAGATAGATAGAAAGAGAATGAGAATTAACAGGAATAATAAAAATGAATTCCATTTGATAAGTTAAATCACCGAATGAAATGGGATAATGTTTACAAACGTGTGTACGACTCTTGATAGATACCTAGATAGAGGAGTACATAGATAGAATACATATATACATACGTGCATATACCTATGTATACACGTGTTATCGAAGATTAGGACTATTGGGTCAATCAGTGTACACTGCATACCTAAAAGCCTAGTCAATCTCTCGTTTTAAGGGCATATCCAATATCCGATATGATGATACCTATAATACTTTCTAACTATAATACTTTTCTCTCTCTCCTTTTTTTTCTTTTCGTTTTCTTTTCCTTTCTTTGATTTTTTTCTCTTTTTCTTTTTGCATCCATCGAATTGATATAATACATATTAATACATATATCGTTACAATGCCGGTACATTGATCCTTACATTTTAACGATTATGTTTTATCTCAATTAATTTATAAATAATATGTACATTAACCAATTAGCCAATTAATTGTTAAACGATACCATTATCCTACTTTCGTGATTAAGCATGAATATCAAACTGAAAGAAATGGACGTTGATATATTTTTGTTTTGTTTCCTTTCGTATCGTTTCGTTTTGCTTTGGGACAATGAGCTTCGAAAAGGGGTTAATCCCCTTTCTCCCTTTTTCCCCCGCATCCATTTTCAACCCCCTCATTCATTCCTATCGGTCGATGCACCGGAGCTCATTTTTAGATAGCCGGAGAAAAAATACACGATTATTTTTCTTTTTTTTTTTTTTTCTTTCTTTCTTCTTCTTTTTCTTCTTTTATTTCCTAATTGACGGACATTTTTTGCGTTAGACAGAACTCTCTATTTCTCTCTCTTTATCTCTCTCTCTCTCTCTCTCTCTCTTTGATGCTATTCCAGTTATCATTAGTCTCGTGAAATTGTGCACATCGTGGAAAGGAGATTAAATGAGACGTTGTTGTCCATTGAATGAGGAAAATCTTTTCACCGTTCGTTCTTTTTTTTTTTCCCTTTACTATCTTTTTCTATTTTTTTTCTTTTTTATTTTTTTTTATTTTTTATTTTTTTATTTTTTAAGTAGAAAAACGTGTATTATTCAAATGCTTTCTCAAGAGATTTCTTCTCCTTTTCTTTTTCTTCCTTTCTTTCTTTATTTTTTTATTCTTTTTCTTCCCTTTTCCTTTTCCTTGAAAATTCGACACTTTCCAAGAACAATTAACAAAACTAATCACTGTTTCACGTATGCGTACATGTTAATATATTTCATTGCACGTTTAATCTTTAAAACGTATAAACATTTATATTAGTATTGGAATAAATGGAAAAATATTACTCAAAATTTGTAATTGATAGAGAAAATATTTTTATTTCGGTTTTTTTTTTTTCTTTTTTTTTCGTTAAACTGTCAAACTGAGACAATATTAATTACGAATTACGTGTCGATTAATTGCGAAATAAATACAACGTCGAATATTATGATTGTTATTGTCAAAATAATTATCACATTGTTGTCTGATAATATTTAACGAAATGTTTAGAAATTTTTCCGCTTTGTGACGTTAATTTAATACCCGTAAAAAATAAAATTAAAAAATATATACATGTATATATATATATATCTCACATTATGATTGCATGTAAAAATTATATATATATATATACATATATATATATTTTTTTCTTTTTCTAAACAAAACGCAAAGTATTCAAATTTTATTATAATCCCTCACCAACGATAGCACCGACATGTTGATTGAAGCTTTTTGTTCGAAGGTTATCCGTCATACGTCTTCTTATCGAGGCCAT